GCGTGGCACCCAACTTGGAAACGGGAAGTACGAAAAGGACTCAGGAGGCTGGTTTGGGTGCCTCTAACAGGGCTTCTGAAGGAATCCCGGAGAGCCTAAATGTGGCCCAAATATCTCGTGTGTGTGTGTGTGTAAACAGGATGTGTGGCACCCAACTTGGAAACGGGAAGTATGAAAAGGATTCGGGAGGCTGGTTTGGGTGCCTCTTACAACAACTCGCTTAACAGAGCTTCTGATGAAATCCTGGAGAGCTTGAATGTGGCCCAAATATCTTCAGGTGACAAGGCATTCACTGAACGCACAATTCTCCTGGAATCTCAGTCTTGGAATCGTGTCCTTCCAGAGGTTGCCTTCCCTGCAGCTGCCAGTCTGGCTTCTGCGGTCACTCCGTCGTGCGCACATCCCCTTGCTTGCCCTTCCTCCTCCCCAAGCCTGGGCATGGCTGTATATGGAGGGCCCCGGCATCTTGATGCCCAGCTGAGGGGAGCAGCAGCAGCAGCAGCAGCTGCTTGAATGCCAAGGGAAGAAGCTGGCTGTGCAGACGGGCCCTGATGGCTTCAAGGCAGTTCGATCCCGGAAGCAGTGCTTTACAAATGAGCAGCATTTACTTGCCATTAGTCACTGGAGGGGTGGCATCCTGACCTCTTGAATGACTGTGGGAGGCAGCCCCCTTAGGCAGAGCCCTGTCTCGCCCAGAATGGCCCAGGGACCCTTGTTTTAAAGCACAAAGTAGAGGGACAAGTCTGTCCGTCTCATATGTTTTGGGGACATGATTCTTGCCCCTCCGGTCAGCCAACAACATGTGTCAAACAGAGGTGGGCAACGCACATTTCTCAAGCCGTGGGGGTGACACCCCAGAGGCGTCTTTGCGGACCTTCCCCCCTGAATGCAAATGAAAAAGGAGCCCACATCCACTCCTGGAGGCCTCCAGCAATGGTAGCCTTCATGCTGGGGAAGTTGGTGGCCACCCTTCTTCTCGTCCGACCCTCCTGAGGGTGACCTTCCTTGCTCCAAAGCCCACGTTGTCCCTGGCGTCTCTCTGTCACGTGGTTGACCTCTCTGTTCTTTCTCGCCTCTTCTGCTGTCAAAATCTGAACTGTTACCTCCTCCATGGATCTGGATCCTGCCTCCCTGTTGCTGGCACACGCATCCTGCAACTGATGAGGGCCACTTTGGACAGAGCGTTTGGGTTCTGCCTGCCGGGCAGTGGCGAGACTTAACGCAGTGTCGTTTGGGGATGCCTCACCTGGATTTTTCTCTTCCTTCCAGGAGCTTGGACGTCTGGATCGGGTTCAACGACGTGGCGAGCCCCAGCCCGTTGCAGAGGGAGGAAGGGTTCAACCTGCAGAGCTGTCAAAACTGGCTCCCCGGGGAGCCTCATCCTTCCAACGCCGACCACTGCCTCCGCATGGGCCCAGCCGGCCAGTGCAACACCGATCTGTGTACAGCCAAGCACAGCTACGTGTGTGAGCACAAGCCGCCAGGTGGGTCTCACCTGTCAGCCCTTGTGCAGAGCAGCCGCGGGCGCACAAGAGGGAGGCTGTTTTCTAACCCCCAGACCCACTTTGAGCTGCACCAGACTAAAAATATGCCAAAAAAGAGAGAGAGGTGGTGATGGGGGGAGAAAGAATGTTGAACGATGAATGTTCTAGTTTGTAATTTAGGAGTGGGTCTGTGAGTGGGTGGGGGAGATTGTTGCGCAGAACAGGATGTGCAGATTTATAGACTGCTGGATAGCCCAGTGGCTTAGGGAGTTCAATTCCCCGACTGGGGCCTCATTGACAGGGTCTGGACCCCGTGATCCAAAGGGTCCCTTCCAGCTATGCTGTTCTAAGATAAATCTACCTTGTTTTCAGTGTGAAAGCAAAATCATACTTTCTAGTGGGAAACGGTTGGGAGGGCTTTCTACCCTACTAAGATAGCTTGAGGTTCAAGGATTTGCATGCAGTCCAGAGATGGACGGTGATCCACGTTGGCTCCAGAAGTGGCCCTAATGCTGTGTCATTTATCCTAAAATTATTCTTGGAAAAAATATTGCGCAAAAAAAAATGATCTCGCAAAAGCTTTGCCTCTGGACCATGTCAGTGTTTCTCTCTCCTCCTCGTGTGGCGTCTGAGCGATTCATTCTAATTTAGCCAGTCAGTTAGAAAGGGTGAAAAAGCTGTGCAAGGAGATGCATGCTGTAACAGGGATCCTTGGATGTGATATCCAGCTGTTTTTTGCCGCGTCGGCTCCTCCGAGTTCAGTGTTTTTTTTTTCCCCTGCCCATCCACAGCAGTGCCATGGTCACCCAGAAAGAAAGAAAGAACAGTCTTGTTTTTAATTTCGTGACCACCACTCTGCTGTTGCAGGAAAAAGTTTGCTGCATTGCTCTTTCTTCCAAGGGCCTTTGATGTATTTTCCCAGCGGGAAAAATCGGGACTGCCCTTAGTTGCATAAGCTCATTGGAGAGGAAATCAGGGGCTGGATGGAGAAACCCTTGGGCAAGCGAGAGGGGTCGGTGAGAGTGGTTTGAGGAGAACGCTGGAAGGCCCCAATCCTCATCTTGCGGGAAACCATGGCATCCGTAGACCTCCTCCCAAGCCAGCCGTGCATCTCCTGTGCACTTTTCAGCATGGAAAGGGGTTCCTGCTTTTGGTTCCTCAAAAGTTAGGCTGCAGGAGACTCTGTGGTGTAACTGCAGAGGTCGGAGACCACCAAGGGGAAAATAAGACCTATGGAAATATACAGGGCTTTTAAAGGTTTTGTACATCCTTAGTTTCATCTCCTGTATGGAACAGGGGTCAAGAGACTGACTTTTATCCTCTCCTTCACGCCTCACTAACAGAGATTCTCCTAAACGCTGAGCACTTCTACCTGGGTGCCCCGGCCTTCGATCCGCGCGTGCCGATGGAAAACGTCACGGAGCGAGAAGAGCTGTCGGCCCCGTCTGGGACCGTGGAGGTGAGTCCCAGGCCTGTGAACCGTTTCTGCCCCAAATCTCCTGGCAAGGGACCCAAGAGCAGCTCTGGGCTTTTCTGTCTTTCAGACGGTGGCATTTCCCCGCTTGGCCTTTGAGCAGGAGGGCTTTCTGGTCGCCCTGGAGCTGGCGACCCAGGACCTGCCGCAGGTTGTCCAAGTCCGTGTTCGAGTGCACCGCCCAGCAAGCCTGGCAGGTGAGATGCTTCAGGGTGGCTGGCCCTGCCGTCCCTCTGCCTGGCCTGCCTCTGCCACGTGCCCAAGACCCTCTGCCACGTTCTCTGAGAGCGACCCCATCCGCAACGTCCCCATCGCCGCCAGGTCTGGTCTCAAAGGGCACCTTCGCTCCCTTGAAAAATGCCCGCGAGGGGCGACGGGCGTCTGGCCGCCAGGGGTTTGGACAGAATGCAGAGAGGGGAAGAAAGGGCAGGCCGTGTGCTCCACGATCAGAAAAGGAACCCTTTCCTACAGGGCGGAAGCTGCCACGCTCATCCCGTGGGAAGAGAGAGAAGGGTTGCTTTCTTTCCATGGGAGCGCAATGGATACCTCAGTTCTGTACTGAGGGATGTGGAAGAAGGAGGTCTTTTGCTCTGTCTACCCTTGTGTCTTTGTGTGTGTCTTTGTGTGCAAGAGAGGGAGAGAATGAATGAAGAGAATGAATGAATTGTATGTGTACAAGCCTATCAGTGGAGGATTCCCCTGCTTTCACAGTTCCATCCAGTTTACCCAATGCTGGCCTGTGTTCCTCTCCTTGAACGCAGCATCCTGCCGGGTGAGAAGGTGCCACCACCACCTCCACCCCTCCGTGCCCTCCTGTGTGACGGAGAAACGATCTCGTCCTCCCTGGAACAAGAGGGGATGTTTCCCAGTCCCTCGGTGGTCTTGGCTGGAATGGTTTCTCTTCCCGGCAATCATTTCCCCCACCACTTCAGGTCATTGAGGGCCAAAGGGTCATCCCAGAAGTGCCCTTTTGGCAAACGACGGTAGGAAGGGCTCTGAAAAGACGGGTGTCTCATGAGAACGACGCTGTGGTGAGCAGACCCCATTCAAAGCCTGTTGGTGGGCAGGGCAAGAAGGCCAGCAGGCCTTCAGGTTGGGCAGAGCTCTTTATCCTACCGGGGGGTTGGCGGAGCGCTGGGACACTCAGAAGCTTGCTCATTTTCATGGGATTGTGGTCGGCCCCCCGAAAAGTATCACCCCTCTGCAGGTTGGCTTTTCTTCCTAGGGAGCCCCAGGCCCACCTGCGCTTGATTCTCACGGTGGCATGTTCTGTTTTTCTCCCCACCCCGCCCCGCCAGAGTGGAAGGAGGTTCTCAATGCCACAGACCCGGTACCAGCTTCTCAAGAGAACGGGACATGGGAGCAAACAGACTGTCCGCTTGGCCTCCACTGGTGTAGTTCAGCCAACGCCTGCCTGCCCCTGGGAAGCTGCTCGGGGCCGTGCGCCAATGCCTCAGTCCTCCCCACCCTTCCACCTGTTCCTCGCCACCGGGCAAATCAGTCCAAGGATGAGGACCTCCGAGAGTCGCTTTTCATTTTACCACCGGGCCCCTCGACGCATTATCTGGTAAGAACCAAGCATTCAACAGCATCCAAGCTCAGCTGGGGTTGTTTCACGCCAGGCAGGTGAAAACCGCCCTGTCTCCATGTCATTGGGTGTCTCCACCTCCTAGCCTGTTTTTGCTTCTCGCTCTTGGTTCGCATTCAGCAGGGAGACCTCCGTCTTTAAAGTTGAAATGCAAGAGGGATGAGCAGGTGGGCCATGGGAGTCTGCATGCCTCGGAGGGCAAGGGGGTAGCTCGGATCTCCCCCAGTGCGTAGCTCCACAGGACGGCGCTGATAGAGGGGAGGGGGAGAGAGAGAGACCCTGTGCTGAGGATCGGGTTTGGAGGAGGGACCTCACAGGGTTCCCCCTCTCTTTTGCAGCTGCTCTTCAAAAGCAAGGGCCCCTTGGTCAGGCCCAATGACACGGTGAGCCTTCAGCATGATGCGGGTCCAGGCGCTTTCCTCCTTTGCCTTCCTGACCAGCAGGCGTCCCCAGCAATGAGCTACTACACCCTGCGCTCTCCCACATGGGAACGGGACAGGCCCGCCCAGCCCACGGCCAGCAGCTGGCAGAACGGCTCCGTGTGCGGCTTCCGGGCTCTCGCTGCTGCCGAAGAGAGGGTGCCCCTTCTGGGTCGGGAGAACTCCGGCGTGGGGCACCCGGGCCTTTACTCCGTGAGGGCCGCCGTGGGCAATGGGGTCTTTAGGACCGAGCTGTCCTGCGATTTCCGGGTGACCTCCCCAATTTCGGGACTCAGGGTCGTTTACCCTCCCGAACAAGGCGGCAGGATCTACGTGGAGGCCAACCACACGTGGCTGGTGGTGAAAATCGTCTCCGAGACCAACGCAACAGCTGGCTGGCTAGGGGCGAACCAGAGCTTCCCCTTTGAAAGGAGCTGCCCGCCCGCCGTTGCGCTGCGGGTGCCCGACTGTGTCAGGGAGGCCAACGACACCTGGTTCTCCATCCTCCCGCTGGAGGGCCTCGGGGAGAATGCCAGCACGGCCGTGCTGTGGGTGGAGAACGCCGTGAGTCGCCAGAACCTCACCGTCGTGGTCAAAGCCGAGGAAGCTATACGGGGGCTCCGCGCAACGCCCAACCCAGAAACCCGAATCTTGCTGCATAACCGCGTGGTGAGTCCTTAAGCTGTCAAGAGGCACCAAAGATAGGTTGGCCGTTGGGCTCGAGGGTGGGGGACATCTTCGTAGCGCATTTAGAGCCGTGTTCAATTTTCAAATCCGCATGGGGGTTCGGCCTGCAAGGTAGGCATTTTACGGCACTGATGCCTGAAGGGCTGCCGACCTTTCAGGCACTTGTTGATTTTTTTAAAAAGCCAGGTAGGAAAAAACTGCGACAAAAATCCCCATCATCCCCATCCCTGTGGCTATTTTGCCATTCGGGAACTCCTTGGGCGCAGCTCCGTCTCTTAACTGGGATGAGAAGGGTCTCCCGCCGGTTTTCAACCAACTCTGACCCAGCAAAGCTAAAGGGCTGAGCTCTGGTTCATAGGAGTTGGAAAAAGGGACATTCAGGGGGGGGGTCTCTTTGGGGTCTGGAAATGCGAGACATGCACCTGAAATAAATCCTTCAAGCTTCCTAATCACATTGCCTCACCCTCAGTGCACCAGGATTCTCACTGGGGTCTGAGAATACCCCAAGATTCATGTTGTTGTTGTTGTTTAAAAAATACTGAAATAATTAAAGACGGGTGTTCCGATTTCTATCCTACCTTTTGCCTTATATGCATTTTTTTAAAAAAGAAGAAAGAATGCAGAAAAAGGTGGGGTGTGTCCTTAGCTCAGGGCTGGCTCCCTTTCCTTTCTCCGTTTCTTTTCTAACAAATCCTCCAGTTTCCAGCCTTCACGGCTGCAAAGTGATAGTGTGTGCGAATGACCCCCGCTGGCCTGTCAGCAGGGGCTGAGTTAACTTCTTGGTGATCTGAGGTAGCCTTCAGGGCCATGTCTTGTCCCTCGCCTTCTGCCTCCCATGACTGGAAACAAAAGACAAAACCCCAGAGCAAATCGTGCAGGACTGACAGCCCTGTAGAATAATCTCTGCAACGCAAGAGAAATCACAACATTCCAATTTCCACAACGTTTAAGGTCCAGATCGGTGCTGAGTTCTTGAGGCAGCCTGGCTGTGATGCCTTTGAATCCAAGTGGGCAGAGTCCCGTCTCTTGCCGGTTCCAAACCCATTTCCCTCCATCCTGGCATCTTGGGTTGCTTTGAACGTGTTGCAGGGCATCGCTTTCTCAGCCCCTGGCTCTTTCTCCGCTCAAGGGGCGCTCCGCTGCCCTTTCCTGGGTACCACACTCGAGCCAAGCCAACCTTTGGAAAAAAAAAGAGTTCAGGGTCCTTCTGGCTGTTGACTCCATATCTCTCGGTTCCATCTGTCGCAGAGCTACGTCCCTGTCATGGATGCGGGAACAGACGTGACCTTTCGGTGGACGGTGGACGACAAGCCCTCCTTCACGTTCTACAACGAGGTTTTCAACGTGATCTACCAAACACCGGCTGTGTACAAGCTGACGGTAAGCCCCCGTCTCCCAGCGGCCTCTTTGTTTTGACCCGCAGTGCCTCCTCTGGCTCCCTTTTAGGGAGACCCCACACGACCCCCCAGGTTGGATGCTAATACGACCCTCCAAAATGTGGAAGACGTGCACCCTCAATCTGAGACCTGGGACGCTTTGGGACCCTTAACAGGTCCTTGTTCCTTACTTACAGGGCCAGAGCTTAGAGAAAAGTGAGGGTTGTTTTTTTAATGCCACATCTCAGAATTCTGCAACCAGCATGGCTGCAGCGCAAGAGGGTAACATTCTCAGGCTCTGCACGAAGGAGCTTGTATTTGTCTTCTCCCAGCCTTGTCCTCGGCTGCCTGATCTTTTTTAATGCGTGGAGCCAGAACACGCGGAATATGTCTGCGGAATGAGAACTCATTCTGCAAGGATGCATGTTCGAGTGGGTATTTTTCCCTTTCTTTTCTGGGTGACCTCTGTATTAATGCTGCTGCTGCTCACTAGCCACTTGGGGCGTTCCAGACCCAAGATCTGGATCTTTCACGTGCAGGCTGTTGGCAAAGCAAGGCTTTTCGAGCGATCCGAGGGAGCCCAACCCGTCGGCAGCTCCAATGCCTAGCCCAGACCCCTTAACCACATGACCTGCGTGGGGCTGTTAAAGGGGAGGGGAGGAGGGACTCCGGTGAGGTCCAGCAGACCCTGCATTCCCCAGGGCCATTTGGAAGGGAAAACAATGCTTTCCCCCTGCCGTTGCCTCCGACTCCATTCCTAGTGGCTGTGCAGGTCCCGTGAGGTGCCACAGTGGTCTCCCTGTGCTTTCAACAGCTCACCGCCTCCAACCACGTCAGCAACGTCACTGTGCATTACAACATCACCGTGGAGAGGATGAACCGGATGAAAGACCTGGTGGTCTCCGAGATCCCGCCGCTCGTCCCCCAGAATAGCACCATGGAGCTGGCGGCCACGGTGACCGTGGACACGGCGGTGGAGGCCACGTTCCTGTGAGTCCTCTGGCTGCCCCATTGGCTGCTTCAGCCCCTTTTTTCCGTGGGAAACCCAAAGAAGGGAAGGGTGCTCTTGCCTCCTATATCCTGGAAGGGAACCATGCAAACAGTCTGCCTATTAAAAGGGAATCTGTGAAGCCCTCCTGGGTAGTTATAGGCATTACACACCTAAAGATGCAAATGTCTTCTTAATCCCCCTACAAACATGTGCAAGGAATTGCACCACCCATTTTGTGGTTTCTTCTTGCTGCTATCATTTTCTTTTTCTGCTATATCGTCTGTCTCTCTGTCTGTCTCTCTGTATGGATGCATGCATGCATTTTCTGCACGCCCCACCTGATGGCATGCGACCGCTCTAGGTGGTTTCCAGCAGATTGCTGACAACCTACGCGTGCAGCCACCCACCAGACGTGAGCCAGAGCCCACAAAAAAAAGGAGGCACAAAAATGAACGAATGAACAAAAATCCCAAGAGCCAGAACAGAACATCTGGAACCAGGAAACGAACACTGGTGTCTTGATGAGTGGGCGGGGGGGGGGAAGAGTATCCCCTCCAAAGAAAACGCAGCTGTTTTCAGCCAGACCGGCTTCACCCCACTTTGAAAAAGCAATGAAGGTGTTTTTCAGCCACGTGGGGATGGCCGCCCAGAGGAAGGGGAAGCATGTAGGGTTTCTGATGGGGCGTCAGGCGTGTCAGACGTAACAAACCTTCTTGCTCTCTGGCGGCCAGTGACTCGTCTCCCCTCTCCCTTTTTCGCGCTCTAGGTGGGACTTCGGCGACCACGGCTGTGTGACTTCCCAGTTCAGGCCCCCCTATAATGACTCCTTCCCCGTGCCCGATCCGAACGTCCACCAGGTGGCAATTGGACATAACGTCTCGCACGCCTACCAGGAACCAGGTGAGGCCACGACGAGCACGTCGGCTGACGAGATCTCCAGGCGGCCTCCGCTTTCACAGAATCACGGCGCTGCCTTGTCAACACAGGGAGGCTGCATTTTATTGCAAGTTTTTTTAAAATGCCTTTTTGGGACAGATTTTAAATAGCTTTTATCCACTAGTTTTCAACTTGATGTCTGTCTATTCCTTTAGTATTGTCATCTCTTTTCTCCCCTCCAGTTTTCAATATTGTTTTCAGCATTCAGATTTTGGGTCCTTTAGAAGAGAAAATCAGGGGATCAATATTTTAAAATATTTGTTAATATTTTATTAAAATATTAATAAAAATATTAATATCTCTTCCCCTAACCCCCCTCTCCCCATCCCCATTTAGGTGAATATACCCTGACCATTTCGGTCGTCAATGAATTTGAGAACCTGACTCGCTCCATCCCGGTCCATGTCTTCACCTACCTGACGGACGTCTCCATGGAAACCAACGCAGGCATTCTGGTGGCGGGCCGCCCGGTCACTTTTGAAGCTCAGCCCTTGCCATCTAGCTATGGGGTCTTTTACCTCTGGGATTTTGGGGACGGTTGTGTGGAGTTCGTGGAGGGGCAGGCGTTCGTACTCCATACCTACAACAGCACAGGGACCTACAACGTCACCTTGAAAGCCAACAACACCATCAGCACCGTGGAGGTCGTCCGGCGTTACCGAGTCTTTGAAGAAGTGACAGGGTTGCGGGTGACCCTGAACGAAGCGGTGGAGGTGGGCACCCCGGTGGAGGTCTCTGCCTCTGTGGAGACTGGGGACAACATCACTTGGGTGTTTGATATGGGCGATGGGACAGTCAGGACCAGTTTCCTGGGATCCGTGGAGCACAGCTACCTCAAAGAGATGAACGGCACCATCAACGTGACAGCGACAAATCCGGTCAACTCCGTCTCCCAAGCCGTCCCCATCCAGGCGTTTGTGCTGATGGTCCTCAAAATCGAGCCTTCCACTTGTATCAGAGAACACCCAGAGGCGGAACTCACCGCTTACGTCTCCGGCAACCCCGAGGACTACTTTTTCGACTGGACCTTTGGGGATGGCTCCTCAAACGTCACGGTGTACGGAGACCCGACGGTGAGGCACAACTTCACCCGCAGTGGCATTTTCTCGCTCTCGTTGGTCCTCTCCAGCAAGGTCAACAAAGCGCAGTATTACACCGAGGTCTGCGTGGAACCCGAGGTGGCCAACGTCACGCTCTTTGCCAGATCTTCCCTTGTGAGGCTCGGGAACGAGAGCAAATTCCAAGCGAGGGCCCTGCCGCCTTACCGCTACCGTTACCAGTGGGACTTCGGGACCGACGACTCCGCTCGGTTTGGGGGCACAGAGGCCAGCTACACGTACAAAGCCCCGGGCGTCTACCTCGTCATGGTGACCGTCAGCAACAACGTCTCTTTCAACAACGACTCTGCCTTAGTGGAGGTCCAGGAGCCGGTGGGCGCAGCCAGGATCGAGTCCAACGGCTCGCAGGTTTTGGAACTGAACCAAATCTATCTGTTCTCAGCCAATGCCAGCGGGACCAAAGTCAGTTACCTGTGGGACTTCGGAGATGGCACAACCCAGCTGGGGAAGCTCATCACCCACTCCTACAACAAGACCGGCGCCTACGCCGTCAGCTTGACTGGCTGGAACGAGGTGAGCTTCAGCGAAGCGAGGGTCAACGTGACGGTCAAGAGGCGCCTCCAGGGGTTGACCATCAATGCCAGCCGGACCGTGGTGCCCCTGAACGGCTCTGTCAGCTTCACGGCCACCCTCCTGGCTGGCACCGCCACCCGTTACTCGTGGATCTTGTGCGACAGGTGCACCCCCATCCCGGGCTTGTCTACCATCTCCTACACCTTCCGCTCCATTGGGACGTTCAACGTGATTGTGACGGCAGAGAGCGAGATTGTGTGCTTGCAAGACAGCATCTTCATCTACGTCCTGGAGCAGATTGAGGGGCTTCAGATCATCGGCGGCGGCGACCTCCTGAATGACAGCTACTCCCCCACCAACAAGACGCTCCTGCTGCAAGCAGCTGTGAGAGAAGGGACAAACATCTCCTACGTCTGGACCCTCCTAAAGGAAGCTCAGCCTGTTCAAACATCTTCTGGGAAGACCTTCTCTCTGACCGTTCTGGAAGTGGGTGTCTACCTCATCCACCTGAAAGCCACCAACATGCTGGGGAGCGTGGCCCTTAACAAGACCGTGGAGTTCATGGAGCCCGTTGGCGTCTTAAAGCCAGCTGCTTCGCCCAACCCAGTGGCCGTCAACGCTTCTGTTAACATAAGTGCCAGCGTCACCTCTGGGACAGGACTGGTGTACACGTGGTACCTGGAGGAAGACGTCTCTCTTCTCACCGAGGCCTCGGCCATCACCTACTCTTTCCGAAGCCCCGGGACCAAAGTGATCGCTGTGGTTGTAGAAAACAAATTGGGTTCAGCCAACGCGACGCTCACGATCTACGTGCAAGAGGCAGTAGAGGGGCTGAGAATCAGGACCATCCGGCCCAACTGTACTTACATTGAGTCGGGCTCAGTCGTGAACTTCTCCGGAGAGCTGGAAAGGGGGTCCAATGTGGGCTGGATGTGGAGGATGCAGAACAACACCACCATCTCCGGGCAGCGAGTGGCTCTGACGTTCCCAACGGCCGGCTTCTTCTCCGTCTGCGTGAATGCTTCCAACGACATCAGCTGGGAAGTGGCCTGCCACAATCTCACCGTGGAAGATCCCATCCGTGGTCTGAGCCTCCTTGTGAGCAAGGACATCCTGGAGGTGGGGGAGGAGGTCTCCTTCGTGGTCAGGAAGTCTTCTGGTTCGTCTGTGAGCTATGAAGCGAGCGTCGGTGGGAACTTCTCTGTGGCGCTCAAGGCCCCCAGTTTCACCCACACGTTCACCCATGTCGGAGACTACTTAGTCCAGGTGAGGGCAGAGAACCACATCAGCGTGGATTACGCAGAGGTCCTTGTTGTGGTGCTGGAGGCCATCCGTGGCCTTCAGGTGGCCAACTGCTGTGAAGAAGGAACACCCACTGGGACAGAGAGGCATTTCACAGCTGAAATTCTGAGTGGCTCACGTGTGTCCTATTCGTGGCAGCTCACCTTAGAGGAAGATGGGGGGCATACACAGGCAGCTGTCTTGGAAGGCCGCAGCATTTCTTACACCCCGAAGGTTGCAGGGCTGTTGAACATCCGCCTCCGTGCTTTCAACCGTCTGGGCAGCCAGAACCTAACCATAGTCATTCAAGTCCAGGACCGCATCCGGCAGCTTTCTCTCCTGCCAGTGGATGCCTTTGCCAACCGGACCACTTGGTTCGAGGCGTCTGTGCTGCCCAGCGCCAGACAGGTGGCGTTCTGGTGGCACTTTGGGGACGATTCCCCCATCGAAAGGACAGATGGGCCGTCTGCTGGCCACACCTACCGGAGGCCTGGGGAATACCTGGTGGAGGTCAACGCCACCAACCTCATCAGCTTCTCCATCGCCCACCTCACCGTCACCGTCCGAGTGCTGGAGTGCGAGGAGCCTGAGGCAGAGCTAGCCTTACCTGCTCAGGTGGTCATGAAGCGGTCGCAGAAGAACTACCTGGAGGCGCAGATTGACTTACGGGATTGCACCCGATACAAGACGGAGTACCTGTGGGAGATCTACAGGGCCTCCAGCTGTCTGCAGTTGAGTTCCTTCAACAAAGTCCACCTGGCCAACGTGGACATGAGCCGGCCTCAGTTGGTCATCCCAAAGCTCGCCCTGGATCTTGGCAAGTACTGCTTCAAATTCCTGGTCTCTTTCGGGGACACGCCCCTGTCCAAGAGCGTCTTTGCCAACGTGACCGTCTTGCCCAATAAACTGGTGCCCATCATTGATGGAGGGTCTTACCGCGTGTGGTCCAGCACCAGGGACTTGATCTTGGACGGAGAGAAGTCCTACGATCCCAACCTGGAAGACTGGGAGCAGACGCCCTTACGTTACAACTGGACGTGTGTCTCTTCCTCCAGAGTAAGTCGGTCTGGGTTTTAGTGGTTTCTGGGGGAGGCTGGTGGAAGGGAAGGAGTGGCAAAGCAGTGCAGAACAGATGCTGGGTTTGCCCCCAAAAGGTGCCATTCATAGAACTGGAGAGAGTCCCGGCTCTGGATGGAACGGGGTAGGGCCATCTCACCCAGCCTCCACCCCTTGAAATCCAAGTCAAGGGTGGGCCATGCCTTTATTAGACCCACCGAATTATCAGGAAAGGTTTCTTTCTCACTTTCCCACTCCCATTGATGCCCACAGTAGGCCTGAGGTGGAAGAGGCGTGCAAGTTCACGTTCGCCTCCCCACCACTTCTGCGCCTTCTCCAGCTTTGTGGCGCCGAGTCCTTCTGCGCGATTTCTCCGTTTTTCTCCCTCCACTTCCCATCTTTCTTTTCTTGTCCCCAACAGAGCTCATCATCAGGGTGTGCCCTCAACTTCAGTGCCACGGGGGGAGTGGTAACCGTCTCCCGAGCCATCCTGGAAGCAGACCAGGAGTACACCTTCGACCTCACAGTCTGGAAGACGGGGATGAGTCCAGAGTCAACGAACCAAACGGTTTGTATTGTAGAGCGACAGTTCCCAACCTGGGTTATATGCGAAACACACCCCTCCCCCGGGGTTACAAACCAGGATATTTGGAGGTACGCAACACCAAAATGGATAATGGAAGAAGAAAAAGTTTAGAATAGCTTTTGAAAAGCACAGGAATCTTTTTGCAAACTGTGTATTTTTAAAACAAAAATTCAATGCAATGCTTGAAAATACATTTTTTTAAAAAAGAGAAGTGTTTAGATAACTAGGATACAATCTAGGAGCTGAGACAGATTTAAATCCAGCGACATTTCTCACTGATTGAACACTTACTGATGGGATTGCAATTGATGTGTATTTCCTTAGCTTATTTTTATTGCACGATAAATATTGGAGCGCAAAAAACATGTGAATATAGAGGAAAAAGAGAAACAAGATTCAAAATATAACCATTGCCGGCAACTTCCTGTCCTCCCAAAGTCTTTATTCTGTCGTGCGAGGCGTTCTCTGCGACTTGAGCAGCTTAGGGCTTTTCGCAGTGCGTGACGGCTTAAAGAAGCACCCCTGGGCCTGTTTTGAAGGTGGGAGGATGGTGAAACAGAGCGTTCGCTTAGCATTCACTGCCACAGTCTCACCACCTCTGCAGCGCAGTGCTTCTCGATCTGGGAGACAATGAAGCAGAGCCCGACTTCGAGGTGCCCGGGTTGTCTTTTAAGCATGCCACTGCCGCACGGTGAGGCCTCAGTCATGTCCCTCTCGCCCGTCCTCGGCTCCCCTTGCCCCTGTCAGATGGGCAGAGAGAGCCTCACGTTCTCTTCCTGGTGGGGTGAGGGCCGAGAAGGAGAAAGCATGAATGCCCAGTCTTTGAAAACCGAGGGGGGCCAAGAATTCCCTGCAGAAAGTGGCTGCTTTCTTTGGCTTCCCCTGCAACCTTTTTTCCCCCTAGGCTTTGGGGGGAAAGCAGGAGGGAGCTTCTCCCCAATGCCTATTGGTGGGCTCAAAAGGAAAGTAGAACAGGAGAAGGCGTCTACAGGCCAACCCACCGTATGGTTTATATCAGCCGCCTGCTGCAGGAGACGGGCTGGCAAGGAGGACCGGGGGACCGTTTGTCTGCAAGTGGAAACTCTGACTGCCTTGATCTCTCTTTCCTCTCTTTTTTGGCTGTTTTGGAAACAGAAGGCTGGAAGGAAGGGGTTGGGAGGGGGAAGAGGGAGAGAAAAAGAGAGCGAGAGAGAGAACCAGAGTCAAGTTGATAGTCTTTCAAGGACATTCCGTCCTCTCTGGCGCCCAGGCATGCATACAAAACAAGGATTGTACTGGAGCAGGGAGTTTGCAAGCGGTGAGCCGAGATGGAGAGCCGTCCTGCTCCTTTAAACCTGCCACGTTCAACAGCACCTTTAGGAGTCTTGCAGAAACAAACAGCTGCGGACACCAGGGCAGCTCCAGCCAGGGGTGGGCAGAGAATCGCAGGGAACACTCTCCCTCTCCATTAAATTAAAAAAAAAGGTCTGGATGGAAGGAGAAAGCTGATGCTCCCACACTCATCTATTTGGGAGATACTTTGATCCTTAGGGGGTGAGATTAGGTGTGTAATTCCAGTCTGAGCATCCCTTCCCAGCTCTCCACACTGCAAAAGGAGCAAATGGACTGGGGAAAAACACCCGAGTCACCCTTTGGACTACAACTCCCATTGGCCTCACTGGAGGAGAGTGGGAGTTGTGGTGCACAACCTCTGGAAAGCCACCAGGGAAGGGAGGCCGACCAAAAAGCCCAGGGACGCCCAAAAGCACGCTTCAGAGCAGAGAACTGATTCCAGATGCAGTTCCAGCACACACGTGGTCCCCAGCGCCGCAGAATTAAAGGTGCCGAAGCCCTTCCACACTGCCTTCTTCCAGGGAAACATCCCGGTCTGTCTGGCTGCCGCTGACCCTGCTTTCTCTCTCCTTTCTGTGCCTCAGGTGCTGCTGAAGAGAGGGACGGTCCCCATCGTCTCGCTGGAGTGCGTCTCCTGCAAAGCCCAGTCGGTCTACGAAGTGAGCCGGAGCTCCTACGTGTACCTGGAGGGATCCTGCCCGAACTGCCAGAACAATTCCAAACTGGGGGTAAGGTGGCCCCTTCGGCCGTCTCTGTCGGCAGGGAGGACGCTCGCTCATCCGTTGTCTGTTTCGGGGACCTCTCTGTGGGAGGCGGTGCAGACGGCCTAGCTCAGGGTCCTGGGTTCAGGAGAGGAACAAGGCTTTTTGACTCCCAAACACAGAACTGAAGAGCCAGAAAGTGTCTCGGTGTAATTTGTATCCCTTGTTTTGGGTCCCTTCCGTAAGAGCAGCAGAAAACAAGCTTCCTCCCTCTTCCGTGTGAAAGATCCATAAAGAGGGTGCTGTGTCCCCCCTCTGCCTCCTTGTCTTTAGGCTCAGCGTGCCCAGCTCCTTCAAGCTGTTTTCGTAGGATCTGGTCCCCGGGTCCTTCCCCATCTCAGCTGGCCTCCTCCAACTGCAAGAATTTAACAAGAACAGTGGCTAAAGAGCTTTCCCCTTTCTAAATCAGGGTGTTGAAAGGTGGATTGGAGCAAATGGGAGTGTTATTTTTCTTCTCGGGTGTGGTTTTTTTAAAAAAACAAAACCACACATAACCTCCTACAGCTTTCAGAGCATGGTGGCAGGTCAGCCCTGCAAAGCCCATGCCTTTTGCCTTTCACTTTCTTCTGCGTCTTGACCGCAGGGTCAAGAAGTTCACATTGCAAAGGGTGATCAAGGTCTTTTTGGGGGTTCAGCACAGATTTAACCCAATTCTAGAATCATGAAGTGGGAAGGGGCCTCTAAAGCCATCACCTTGCTCAAGGCAGGAATCCAAATCCAAGCAGGACAGATGGATGGTGGTCCGATTCTCTCTTGAAGGCCTCCAGCGTTGGAGTGCTCACCATTTCCCAAAATAATCAGTTCCATTGTCATAATTTGCTTCTGAGTTCCTTCTCGCCGCTGAGAATCTCCCTGATTTCCTGGCACTCCTTTAAAGTTGTTAGTCTTTTGGGTTAGTTTGTCCTCAGTGGGACGAGTAGGGCCGAAAAACCCCCACAGTGATGTGAATCTCCTTGTTTGGTGCACTCCGGCAGTTGCATTTGGCACAGCAGCCTTTGTAAAGGTTGTGGGGCAGAGAGAGGGGGGGGGGAGACGTGGGGCAGGATGGGAGCTGGGGCTTGGTTGGATGATAGGTTTCTCACCCCATTTTGTGGTTGGTGCAGAGGTGGGCAGCCCACAGCTTCAAAAACAAGCCGCTGGTCCTGGACAAGAGCACCACCTCCACTGGGGACACGGGGATGAACCTGGTGCTGCGACCGTGGGCCCTGAAGGATGGCGAAGGCTACACCTTTACTCTGCACATCATCGACCTGGCCACAGGAGAAGAAGGCTACGCCTCCATGGACCTCTTCCCCAACCAGCCACCTTTTGGGGGCTCCTGCTGGGTGTCTCCGATGGGGCCTATCCAGGCACTGACCACCAAGGTCCATTTTGAGTGCACAGGTGAGACCCTGGTGCCAACTCCTGCCTGGTCAGCGGTGGGCATGCTGGTGCCCCCGGGGGAGGCCTGGCCGCCCTTTCCCGAGGGGCTCCCTCAAAGAGTTGACGTTTCCTCCCCCATGTGTTTGGCTGGCAGGCTGGAGAGACACAGAGGACGAAAGCACCCCCTTGGTGTACACCCTCCTGGCCCGTCGCTGCCGCGTTGGCCACTGCGAAGACTTCTCGGTGTACAAAGGGAGCCATTCGGAGCACGCCGCCTTCCTGCCGACGGGATTCCAGGAGAGCAGCTCCTTGGTGTCCGTCTTGATCCTCGTCCAGGACCAGCTGGGAGCCATGGTGGTGGCCTTCAACAGGTAGGGGCTTGCCAGCGCACTGTGCAAACACACACACGCACACAAATCTCAAGAGTAGAACTCACACCGCTGCTGCCGTTTCCTCCCCTCCCATCAGAAGACGGGCAGCGAGCTGGGCTCGAGGCCAAGCGCCTTCCTTCCTTGCAGCCAGATGCCTTTTTATTTTGCTTGCGAATAAAGTCAACCCATTTGGGGGATCCGTCCCGACTTGTGGGCAGTTGGCGCAATGGACTGCAACTTTTACTTGGGGGGGGGGCGTTATCATATTTTAAGCACACACACACCAGTTTGAATACCCACCCTACTTCTCTGATGGGATTAGTCATAGATCTGTAAACCAGTTTCTGAGTACCCCGTCTAAGCCTGGCAGAGGTATTGTTCATGGTGACTTCACACTCTGAGCGTTGCTGGACTACAACTTCCCTTAGCCCCAGGCACCCCCAGTAGAGAGGAATGCTGGCAGTTGCCATTCCACCATATCTTGAGAACTGGGCCTTCCGTACAGGTGTAGGTGTGTGTAATCCAAGATTCTGTCCACTTTCCTTCAGAAGGATGTGTTTTAAGTGTTTGTAGCAAGAAGGACAAATGCAAAATTACTTCCTGCCCCCATCTGAAGTGATTGCTAGTGCTGTACCACCGGCTTTGCTCTGTCTCAGCTTCCCATCCTCACCGTTGAGGGCTTGTAACTTTTTGTGCTGGAGTTGAGCCTTGCGGTAACGTGCCACAGAAGTAGGAGAAAGCAGCCGTGTAGTTCCATCCAGAGAGAACGTTGAACATTTCCAAGGAAAGCCAGAAGTTTGTCCGAAGATGAACAGGCCTCAAAGTGCGCATACGTTGTCGTAATCCATGAAATGCGGTGCGTTCAGGCCCATCGTTCTGTTTCCGAAGACATTCTGCTTCTCCTGCTGTTGTTTCTCAAAGCAGGTGTTTTTGGCTGCTGCGGTTGTGCAGACACGCCTGGGAGCGCCTGTGCAAGGCTGGCCCGAAATCTCAAAAAACTGGGTGTGGCGGCTGGATCTCTATCCCGTCTCCTGAGACTCCAAGGCTCGGCTGAGCAGCTTTCATAGAATCACTGAATTGGAAGGGGCCTCCGAAACCATGGAGTCGAACCCCCTCCTCAAGGCAGGACTCCAAATCAAAGCAGATCGGGCAGAGGGTGGTCTGAGTTTCTCTTCAATGACTCCGGAGTTGGAGCGCTCACCAACTCCCGAGGTGACTGCTTCCACTGTCGTACTGCTCTAACAGTTAGGGAGTTTTTTCCTGATATTCAGCCGAAATCTGGCTTTCTGGAACGTGAGCCCATGGTTGCGTGTCCTGCACTCTGGGATGGTTAAGAACAGATCCTGCCCCATCTCTCTAGGACTACCTCTCAAGTCTTTGAAGAGTATCATCCTATCTCCCCTCAAACTTCTTTTCTCGAGGCTAAACCTGCCCAGTTCTTTTAGGTGAGGGTTTGCAAAACTTGGTTGGTTGAAGCATACAGCTTTCCCTTTTTTCTGCACTGGGTGTTATCTGGGTGCAGAAACAGTCGCTGTTTTGGTGCAGGATCAACAAGCAGAGTTTGCGTGGATGGGTTGACCCTCCCGCTATCTGCGATCTTTGTTTTTCCCATGTGAACAGAAGCGGCTGCATTTCCCTGCCTTTGGCACGGAGGCCTTCACAAAGGAGTTTTACCTGTTTTGTCTCAATTTACAGCTGTTTTGAGCCAATAAGTCATGTCGAGCGACGGGGAAAATCAATTCTCTCTGAAATGCAAGTTTGTTCTTAGATTATAAATCAGGGAGGCAGCGGCAGTTCAGGCTGTTTTTTGCTCCAGACGAGAATTCGATGCCTTGTCCTTCTCATGAATCCCATGCCTTGTTCGCATCGGTAACGAAGAGCTGCTGGTGATGAATGGCCTATCGCTGGAGACAAATGAGAAGCCCAGGCATGCCCCATTTATCGCAGAAGTCATCCCCGTCTCCTGCATTGCCCGCAGAGAACATTTTTCAGGGAAGGTGTTAAGGAGCAGAAGAAAAGTCACGGAACCAAGCTGATCCGACGCGCCAGAGCTCTGGGGTGGCAGAAAAGAAAAACGCAGCACACATGAGCAAAAGGAAAAGGAGGGCTGAGGAACTGGATTGTTAAAAACATTGCAAAACCGTGAGCTTCTGAGTTGCTTCGGAGGAGGTGATGGGTGTGAAGGAAAGGCTTTATCCAGCCCTGATTAGGAGGTCTTAGAAAAAAGCGAGCGAGCGAAAGGCACTGAGTAGGAACGCAAGGGCATGAATTAAAATCTCCATTCTTGACAACTTCAACTGGGTATTTCAAGGAGGTGCTTTCAAGGCGTGGGGGAGTCCTTGCCTCCTTGTCTTGACAACTTCAACTGGGTATTTCAAGGCATGGGGGAGTCCTTGCCTCACCATTTTCTTTTTTTCTTTGTAATTTTTGCACATGGTCTCTGCACAAAACCGGTGCGTCTCTCCCTTTGAGAACTGAACCACAGCCATGGATATCCAGCCGCTGAACTTTAGGGCTTAAAAAGATGCAAGCAATCCCTCTGCTGCTTCTCCTCCTCAGAACCCATGCCAAGGAGCAGCAGGCATCCTCTTTTCCCACCGTTTTGAGAGGTCTGGCTTAAAGCCCTGCCCTCTGGGCAAATCCGCTTCGTCCGTAGAAGAAATGCTTCTCATCTGCCCGAGAGCGACCACAAAATGCTTTCTGGGCCTGTCTCCCCGAGGGCTGTCTCCTCAGGGCATCAAACTGAGGCAGAGGCTCAGCCCAGTTGGTTTCTTTGAAATATTTGACCCTGCCTTGTGACTGGAGCTCACAAGGTGATGACGTTTTTATTTATTTTTGGTTTGCAAGTCTTGCTTTCTCAGACCCAAAACTGCTTGAATCCCTTCTCCAGAACCCTGACCTGGTGGTAGCGGGGGGCTCCCTACAAGGTATCATTTGGCCTTCCGCCATCTTGACTCCTATTTGCCTCCCCTGCCTCTGGAAAGGCAGAGGGTCAGTGACCAGTCTCCCAGCCGTTTTTTTCTCTGCGGGGAGTTACCCTGTTGGCTTGCTTTCCTTTCCAGCTCCATGGCCATCATGCTACCCAGCACGCCGGAAGGATTCCACAGCCTCCCGCAGTGGCTCTATAACCAGACCGAGGTGGTTCTACAGGGCTTCGTGAAACAGGGGGACCCCCAGCAGGTCATTGAGTACACGCTGGCGCTCATCACCATCCTAAACGAGGTACACAGGGGCAGCTCTGCCTGGAATAGGATTTGAGAGGAGGGGAAGGGAAATGCATAGGTGACTGGTTGCAATTAGTTATGCTGCCGATGATTCTACTCAAGTAAGAGGAGCTGAGTGTGTTCGGTGTGACCCAGATGGACAGCCTGTCACTAAGGGAGTTGGTGGATGGGGGTTCATCCCTTCATTCATTAAAAACTATTCTCTGGCACTCTGCTTCACTCAGGGAGACCTGCCAGTTGTGCTCCTGGTCCGTCGCTGCTCCAACGCCTAATTGCTTCCTAAGAGCCTAATTATTTCCTTCTCTCTCCTCCGATCTCAGTACGAGTCTTCCATGCCTTCGATGCCGGAGGCGGAGAATGACGACCGCCTCAGAGCCTGGACACGGAGGAACATCACGGAAACGCTGGTCTCGCTGAACGTGAACACGGTGGACGACATCCAGCAGATTGCGGCGGCTCTGGCTCAGTGCACCGTAGGTGGCGGCGCTCAGCTCTGCCTCTCCTCAAGGGAACAGCAAGCGAGAAGGAGGGGAGCTGGAGGTGGATCGGGACCCCCACAGCCTGTGCAGAAAGACCTGCATCTTTCTTCAGCCTGCGGGGTTTAGCCAGGCGTGATGCTCTCTCTCCCGGTTTGGGCTGCCATGTAGAATTAGAAGGAGGGCTTCTGAGAAAGGAGGGAGGTACAAAGTCCTGCCCGGGGGGCAAGAAGCCTCCAGACCCAAATCAGAACGGGCCCTGCTTGGCTCCCATAGTCTGTTGCCTGTGAGAATAAGACATCAAGAAAGGGGAGCCAGGGAGGAGCACCCCAGAAACCTTGGTGGCCCAAGGAGGACTTGGCGCTCGGCTGCTCCGAGCAACCCAGAAAACGTGTCCGCTGAACAACGTGCATTTTCCATTTGCAGGTGGCGAGCAAGAGCTTTGTATGTCGTGCCTGCCTGACCAGAACCTTGAAGAAGCTGGAAGGCATGATGGCCATCCTCCAGGGAGAGACCACGCAAGGCACCATGACCCCCACGGCCATCGCCGACAACATCCTCAACATCATGGGTGGGTTTGCAGGCACGTGGCTGCCACGGCCATGGCGAGGGTCCTCCTGGGGAGGGAGGGAGGGTTATCCCATAGCCTCCCTCCCAAAGAGAAACCCACGAGCCGTTTCAGAAGCCTTGTGTGGACGTCAACCAGCCTGTTGCTTTCTCGACGTTTCCATTACTGGCGTTTACGCAGAGGGGAAGGGGGGGAACGGCCTTGGCCTGCCGTCAGCCCTACCTGGAAAGGGGCCCGAGGGTGGAGTCCCCTGAACACTCTGCAGGCCTCATGCAGACCCACTGGGGCTGATCTTCTGTTTCCTTCCCTCCTTCAGGGGACTTGATTCACCTCGTCAACACCGTTTCCCGGGAGTCGGAGCCCCAGAAGCTCTGCAGCGGGGGCCAGAATGCTGTCCAGGTGGCTTCCAAAGCGTACGCCCTCTCCACGGACTTGATGCGCATCCTGATGAAGTCGCGAGTCCTCAACGAGGAGCCGCTGGAGCTGGCCGGGAGCAACATCACGGCCAAGGGGAAACGCGCCGACCCGCTCGGCTTGCTCTGCTACGAGGAGAGCCCCGACTGCCAGTTCTCCATCCCGCCGGCTTTCAACACCACCTTCTCCAACCTGACGGACGTGGTCCAGGTCATGATCCAGGTGGACTACAACCCCTTTCCGTTCGGCTTTGTCACCAACTACAGCGTCTCCTCCCACGTGGCCTCCCTGGAGTTCCAGGACAACAACGGGACGGAAATACCGATCGGGAGCCTGGATGCCGAGAGGGCCATCACCGTGATGGTGACGGACCCCCGGGAGAAGAACATCACGGTGGGAACGGTCGTGATCGAGGAAGGGCGTTTGGTGACCGTGGTGCTTCGCACGGAGAACGGCAACACGGAAGCAGGGCTGTATATCCAGGTCACCTTCAGTGTACTTGACGGTAGGCAATACGAGAAGGCTCTTATCCGTGTGAACGGTTTCTGTGGAAGCGTGCTGTCGGTCCAGGATGCTGGCCATGCCTGTGGTTTAGACCTTCCTCGCCAGCAAATCTCCACTTTCCCTCTTACATGCACGTAGTAAGAGGTGCTGCCTCATTCGTGGTTGAGCAGAAGCTCTAAAGACCGTGGCCGCTCAAAAGAGAACAGGTGGGATTTAGTCCTTTAAACTGTGCTTTTTGTCCAAAACAACCTGTGCACATGTTTGTCAAGAGCCAGCATTAATGGCCCCATATGTTCACCCCACTTTATGAACATTGCAGACCCTAACACCAAGTATTTGGGGACTGGAGTTTGGTCGTCCGCTCTCTCACTCGGGTTCTCTCTCTCTCTCTCTCTCTGCCCTCCCCGCCCCACGCCGTGGCCAGAGCGCTACGTGTCCAGCGAGAAGGAGCCCTTCCTCGCCGTCTGCCTCTTCCGTGCCGCCGAGACCAACTGCACCGCGGCCAAAGCGATCTTCCTGGAGGACATGACTCGGAGGCCGCAGGGTGACCACCGGCGCTACACCTTCTTCGTTTCCCCCGTGTAAGTGGTACCCTGGGAGTCACCGGCAGACCTCAGGAGGATATTCCTGGGTCTTCTAGGTGCGCCCGTGTCTGCTCGCGCTCCTGGCTGTGTCCCTTTTTTAAAATTTCAGCACAAACAATGATGGCTTAAAGACTGTTGCATTCCCGCTTGGTTAGAGGCTGCTCCTGAAAGCGTCTGCCTCATAAAAGTAGTTGAGTCTTTAAGGCGCAGAACGACTCCTTGTTGGTTGGGCTCCCCTAATAGGCAAAGAGTTTGGACATGGATATGTAGGATTCCTCTAGGACAGGTTGCTTAGAAGGCATCTTTTGCTACTCTGATTTCAGGACCAGGAGGAAGCTTGCATTGCATAGAGCAGGTGGATGATGGGAGGTGGGGAAAGGGTGCCGTGGAACAGATGGTGGGCCTCGTCCCACTTATGGGGGGGAGTTGGCTGGGAGGTACCCCTTGGGGATAATAGCCCCTGGGACTCAACTGACAGCCCGGTTCTCCCTCTTCTTTAGCACGGACGACCCGGTGCTGGACTACCGCATGAACATCACCAACCGCTTCCTCTGGTCCCCCGTGGAAGTGACGCTGGGCCTGTACAGCTCCCTGTGCCAGTACTTCAGCGAAGAGGAGGCGCGCTGGAAGACGGAAGGCATGGCTCCCTTGGAGGGGGCCACCCCGGAGAAGGCCGTGTGCTTGACCCAACACCTGACCGCCTTTGGGGCCAGCCTCTTTGTTCCGCCCCACTCCGTGCAATTCCTACGGCCTGTGAGTCTCTCCCACCCGTTCTTCCTTCCCTTTTTGTGTCAAGCACTATTTTTATCCTTCATTCTGTCTCCGTAATTTTTCTTAGCTCAAGTATAGCCCCTTTGGAGTTCTCTAGCAGGCCCCTCTGGGGAACCATTTCGGCAGCCTTTTCTGGTGCCCTTGCGCTCGGCTCATTCTTGCACCTGTTAGAAGCACCGCGGGCATTTCCGGTGGCAGAGACGAACCTCCGTAACCTTCTCTCCCCCCCCAACCCTCTTCTTCAGCCTCCGGGCCCGGGGCTCAATTACATCGTCCTCCTGACGTGCGCCATCTGCTTGGTGACCTATTCGGTGGCGGCCGTGATCGTGCACAAACTGGACCTGATTGACCTTCGCCGCGTGGAGGTGATCCCCTTCTGCGGAAAGAACGGGTTGTACAAGTACGAGATCCTGGTGAAAACCGGCTGGGCCAAGGGCTCCGGTAAGGGGCTGCCGCGCGTTTTTGGAATTCCCCCTCACAGCATGGGGGCTATTCTCCGGCAGCATCCAGATCACTGAATTAAGCCTCCCGTTATGTGAGCAAAGGCAGGATTAATCCTGGAGGGTGGGTTCCAGGGGGTGTGGGCTTGGCTTCCTTCCTAGACCCTGAATTATATCACAATTCTGAAAGGTTTTGCTGTTATGGGACTACGGTGCTTTGTAGCCTCGTGGCGCAGTGGTTAAACCGCTGTACTGCAGCCAAAACTGCTCATGACCTGGGGTTCAATCCCAGGTAGCCGGCTCAAGGTTGACTCAGCCTTCTATCCTTCCGAGGTCGGTAAAATGAGTACCCAGCTTGCTGGGGGGGGGGGCAATGTGTAGCTTGCATAATTAACTTGCAAACCGCCCAGGTATATAAGCAGCACGCTTTGTTTTTTGCTTTGCTTTGCTTTGCTTCCCCCCCCCTCTGGAAACAGCTACCTGTTATTTCTTAAGATGGGAAATATAACCTTCCATTCATGTAAGGGGCAAAACAAGAGAAGGGTTGCCCATTTTTTTGCCCTATGGGGGGGGGCTGACCCATCTCTCCTCTCAGAACATCACATGGCAAAAGGAACTTGTAGCATTACTCATTACATCTCAGCGGCCAGGTGCCATGATCATTCACTTGATTGGATAGTACCTTGTGTTGTGTATTACTATAAAAATACAAGAAAGCTTTCTCTAGATCCCGCTAGCTACTAGCTAGCTAGCTGGCTAGATACCCATGATGCAATATCAGAACTGGCCACTAGTGGGATCCAGAGCATAGGACGAGTTTTGAATCCAGTTTCAGGACCATCTCTCCTGTTCGGCAAAGAGCAAACCGGAGCCACTTCTCTGGCCGAATCATCCTGGGTTCCTCTTTCCTTCCAGGGACGACAGCCCACGTGGGAATCACTCTGTATGGGATGGAAAGCAAATCCGGGCACCGGCATCTGGACGGAGAGAATGCCTTCCGGCGCAACAGCCTCAACATCTTCCAGGTGGCTACAGAACGCAGCCTGGGCCGTGTGTGGAAGATCCGCATCTGGCACGACAACAAAGGTGCGTTAGGAGGATGCGTTAGCAGCTGCATCGAGGGTGGAGGGTGGACTAGCCACCAGCCTTCCTTTGGAGCCGAGCTCCCACTCGTACGTTGGCCACCCGGCAGAGCATGTAATCCACCCTCGAGGCTCAGCGGAGCCTGGATAGTCAGAGTCAGCAGAACTACACAATGGCCGGCTGCCGAAGGGGGCCCCGTCCAGGTTTCAGGTGCAGGTCTTAAACAAAACCAGAGTCGGAGGGTTCCCGTTCTGGAATCAATAGAAGCGGCTTTCCCGAAGGAGCGCCTCCCTCACCCTCCTCCCTTTGCTGCTCAGGGCTCAACCCGTCCTGGTATCTGCAACACGTCATCGTCAGGGACTTGCAGACCTCCAAGAGCTACCACTTCCTGGTGAACGACTGGCTGTCTGTGGAGAGCGAGGAGAACGACGGCCTGGTGGAGAAGGAGGTCTTCGCGGCCAGTAAGTGAAGCCCGAGGTGGCCGTGAGCAGGGGTCGGAGCCGGCCCTGGGCAGGAGGGAGGAAGAGACGGGCGCACAGGCTGCCCGCCTCCATGGGAGGATGGGCCTGGGGCGGCATGTGCCGAGGCTGTCTTCTTGTGGGTTTAGTTAAGAAGGCTGCCGTGGAGATGGGCGTGGGGCTAGCCCCATAGGGTAGGCATGGTCCCTCCAAAATGGAGGCTGCAGGGAGCAAGGGTGAACTCACCGCAGGCCTTCTGAGGTTCCTCTACGCCAGAGGGGATGCCCCCCCTCCTTGAGGGGGGCAGGATACGGTCCCTAGGCTGGCGCCTGCTCACTCTCTTCCCTCCACAGGCGAGTCTGACCTGAGGAGCTCCACGCGGATCTTCGTGGAAGAGCTGCAGCGCGGCTTCTTTGAGAAGCACATCTGGCTCTCCCTGTGGGACCGGCCCCCTCGCAGCCGCTTCACCCGCGTCCAGAGAGCCTCCTGCTGCTGCCTCCTCGTCTTTCTTTTCCTCTGCGCCAACACGGTGTGGTACGGTGTTGTGGGAGATGCCAACTTCAGGTGCGCTTCTCTGGCCCTTGTGTTTTCTCCTAGATGAGCATGGAAGGGCCGCTGGGGTTAGCCAGGATTCTTTCCCTGCCTGAGACCCTGGGACGTCGGGGGGTCTGCCTTCTTCTCCATCAGGCTCTTTGTCCGTTTAGCCCCATAGGGCCAACTCTGGCTGGCAGCCGCCGCTCCATCCTTCCCTAGCCCTCCCTAGAGATCCCCGGTGCCTGTCTCTTTCTGGGAACAAACCATCACCGTTCTCTGAAACTGGAAAATGGCAAACTTTTATGCCCTCCTTTCTCCTTGCAGCCACGTGCCCATCTCTACCTTGATCCCGATCAGCGGGGAGACCATCGTCGTCGGCCTGGTGTCCAGTTTGATCGTCTACCCCCTGTACCTCGGTCTTCTCTTCCTCTTCCGGATGGCGCGGAGCAAGGTAACCAGGCAGGGAGCTGGTTCTCCGAGACGCGGTGTCTCCAGGTGTCAGGGCTTAACTCGCGTGGCGTGGTTTCTGTGCATCAATATCCCTGCGACCAGCATTTTTACCGTATCTGCCTTTGCTTGCAAGTACAGAGGCTGAGCGTAGGTGGAGGTTCATAGCTTAGCACTGCACGAGGTGTCTGAATGTCCGCTGTAAAATCCCTTCCTCCCTGCTTCCTGGAAAAGCTGGCTCCAAGTTCATCTGCTTTCCCCACCTCCACCTTGAGATGGAGGCAAAGATGAGGAATGGCTTTGTGCGGGATTGTCGACCGGCCTCCCTCCTTCCTTCCCTCCCACGGCAACACCGATGACCCTCACGCCCACCCTCCCTCCCTCTCCCTCTCTTGCAGGTCTCGGTCAGCCAGGCGCTGGCCCAGTCCGACCAGCAGTCCTTAGAGATCGACAACTACCTGGACTCCTCGCTGATGGAGAGCTCTTTCCTCACCGTCCCCGGGCTTCGGACGGAGGTACGGGTGGCAGGATCCCTGCGGGTGGACCGGGACCCGCCCTTCAGACCAGATGTTCCTTCCCAGCCATCCCGCCAGCTCAGGGGCCTGGGGCCAGGCTCGCCGTCTCTGGGCCCCGGGGGCCTTCTCCGAGCGGGCTGCCCGAGGGGGGGGATCCACTTGGGGAATCCAGAGACCGGAACAAAAACTCCCTCTCCTTCCACCCTCAGGCGTTTTCAGAACAGACCAAAATGGACCGCTTCCTGGACGACTCGAAAAGGTAATGGGGGCGTCGTTGGCCTCTCACGAACCCAGGAGTGGGCGAAGGGTGACCCTCTGGCATTCTTGACCAAGGGCCAGGGTTGGTGGATCCGGGGGTCAAGCAGCCCCTACTGCCCACCATTGTCCTCCCCCTCTCCCTCCCATCGCATACCCGTCGGCCACACGGCCAACGCAAGGGCCCCCCCTCAGTTCTGGGGGTGACGGGTTGTGTTCCTCGGTTTGTGTCCCTTATTTCTGGGCTGTTCTCCACCTGGGCTCAGCTTGATCCGGTGGCAGTCCAACGAGGCGCTGCTCAGCTGGCCGGATCTGCTCAGCGACCCCTCCATCATGGGCAACACCATCCAGAAGCTGAAGAGGGGGAGGACCAGCCGCCACCTGGGCCTGGAAGCGCCTCTGGCCACGGAAGAGGACACCGTGTCGCTCGGGGTCCCCCACGCTCAGACCCGCTACTTCTCGGCTTCAGGTGAGCGGCTGAGAAACCCAGCGGAAGTTTGACCGCTGCTTTCTCCATCTTGCTTGGAGGGTGGCTCGGGGGCGGGGGAGTGAAAGATGGGGAGGGGAAAGACTCGAACAGAATGCTTTGCACCGCTGGACTCCACCAAGGACCTCCTGCAGCCAACAGGATAACTGCTCTGCTCACCAGATGCCCTTGTTGGTTCGCAGGGCCCAGCGCCCTTCACCACTAGCTCAGGCTGGCTAAGGCTGATGGGAGTTGGAGTATTTGCAAATATCTATATTTAGAAAGGGCATCACAAAATACTGGGTTTCCAAAGAGGGCAACTTACCCTCCCCCCCTTGCTGTATGAAAACCAGACCCATGCAGTCAAATCCCTGCCATCACTTAAACGTTGCTCACCCCGACGGACTGAAGACAGCTTGGCACATACGTCTGTGTGTGTGTGTCTTCCTTCCTTCCCCAGATGAAGACCTGATACGGCAGATTCTCTCCGACGGAGGTGGCAGCATCGCCCACCCGCAGGAAGCGGGGCGGTACCCCAGGGTCGAAACGGATCTCCTTTCAGGACTGTAAGTCTGCCGGGAAGGAGGCCACAGCGCTGGGGTGGACCAGGAGGCTGGCGAGATGTGGGTCTGCTCGTATGGGGTGGGGGTGGGGGTGTCCCTGAGAAGCAGCCTTGTGCAAAGGAAGGTCCTGGGGGGAGCAGCTTTAGATGTGGGTCTGCTCGTATGGGGTGGGGGGGGCGTCCCTGAGAAGCAGCCCTGTGCAAAGGAAGGTCCTGGGGGCAGCGGCTTTATTGCACAGGGTCTCCAAGGGGGCGGGAGGTTCTACAGATGGCTGCTGCCTGCTTGATTCCCCCATCCCACCCCCACCCCCGGTCTCACTGGTCAAAATCCTGGGAGCATCCCGGGCAGCAGAGGTGCTGAAGGCTTTCGCTGTGCCCCGAACAGGTCCGCCGTGTGTGGGGAGAAGACAGAAGCCATCGTGCTGCAGCGGCTGAATGAGAAAGGGCAGGCGTTGGCGGTCCCCCGGAGAGAGCTCAACCGCTCGGCCAAGTCCAGCCGAACAGGTACCTCGGTGGGGCGCACGCGGACCTCCGAGGGAGGCGCCCACCTCACGTTGCTCTTACAGAGGAAGGAGGCCTCTGTGAAGCCTCCCCCCTTCCATGGGCCTCGCTGGATTCCCAGGCTGTGGGTCTCCCTTGCAAGGCCAGCTTAGCTGCTGAACTCCCCCATCCGGCAGAGACAGGAGGGCCGCTAAAGGGAGCCTCAGGGAGACACCGCTCGGCTTCTATAAAACACACGTCTTTTTCACATTGCCTTTGGTTGCTGTTTCTAAAAACAGGTTTCATTGTGTTTTAGTGTGATCACCTACTGGGTCTGTCGCCCCCTCTCTGTTTTGAATCACATGGCGAGATGACTTTGAAATACAGACATGGGAGAAAAGGAGCAAATACACAAACGAACAGGTCCCTCCTTGTCCATCACCAGCTCGTCTCCTGCTAGGACAGACAGATAGATAGATCAAGGTTGAGACCTCTGGTGATGGAGCCAGAGGTTGGGAGTTCGATTCCCCCCACGGGGCCTCTTTGGCAGGGACTCCTTTGGGGTCCATAGGGGTCGAGCCAGAGGTTGGGAGTTCGATTCCCCTAAGGGGGCCTCTTTGGCAGGGACTCCTCTGTGATCCATACGGGTCCCTTTCCAGCTCTGCAGTTCTAAGAGGATGATTGCCATCAGCCCCAGCCCACACAATCAGGAGAGGAGTTACAGCACAGCCCCAAGTGGAAAGGCTGCCCATTCTCTGGCCCCGACACCGAGTCAGCTCAACCCTTGTGTTGTGTCCTGTGTGTGTACTCTCTCATTCTCACTCTCTCAGGCACTTTCCCTTGTGTTGTGTCCTGTGTGTGTACTCTCTCATTCTCTCTCTCACTCTCAGGCACTTCGGTGGCTGAATGCAGAGAGATGGTTTAGCTCCAAGGCCAGGAGTGGTTGTCTGAACCTTTCACCCCCACGTTGATTACCTGCTTCCATTCCAGCATGAGAGCGGGGCTGTTGGGGGATAGAGCAAAGAAAATGCAACCGCCAGTTGGGTAGTGTCCTGTGTGTGTACTCTCTCATTCTCTCTCTCACTCTCAGGCACTTCGGTGGCTGAATGCAGAGAGATGGTTTAGCTCCAAGGCCAGGAGTGGTTGTCTGAACCTTTCACCCCCACGTTGATTACCTGCTTCCATTCCAGCATGAGAGCGGGGCTGTTGGGGGATAGAGCAAAGAAAATGCAACCGCCAGTTGGGTACAAAAGCCAGGTGCTGTCCAGGCAGGACCCCTGTTTCATGGGTGTTCCTCCCAATGATGTCGCTCTGTATGTCCCCCCCCCTGCTTCCCTCCCATTTCCGTCTCCTGCAGTGGTGGACCCTGCCCTCCGGAAGCGTCTGCTGCCTTTCTGGTGCGCCTACCTGGCCCACGGCATCAGCTTCGCCCTCTTCGTCCTCTGCTTTGGGGTCTCTACGTGGATCGGAGTGGGCTTCAGCTCCAGCGTGGCCCTCATGTGGCTCATCTCAGGGATTTTTAGCTTCCTCTCCTCGTTTTTGCTCTGGGAGCCCCTCAAGGTAGGCCCTCCAGGTAACTCCATGGTATCATACCAGGCCAGGAAGGTCCCCCCGTCCGACAGGATGTTTCAAGAGCCAGTTTCTGGTCTCCCTCTCGTCCTGTTTCTATACGCTGGCCTGCCTGTGGACTTTGCCTGGGGGAGCCATGGCCGGCTCCGAGCGGGTGCAGAAAAGAACTCTCTTTCTGGAAGGGCCTGAAGCCAAGAAGAGGGGCAGGCGGGAGGATGAACGGCTCCCAAGTCCCTCCTCTGACCCACCGTGCCTGCACGTCCTCCTCTGGAACCTCAGGTCCCCTAGACATCCCATGGAAATTAAAAAGGGCCCTTAAAACATGCACATGGGAGGAAGCCGTGAGGGTGGCCAGGCCTGGTGGATTTTCAGTCACAACGCCTTTGACCGTTCAGCGTCTTTCCTTTCCACCAAAGAGGCATCTGTGCAAAACAAAATGACAAAAAGCCGGTTGTGCAGCTAAGCTGATACCTCCTCGTCACCCAACACCTTTCCTCTTGTTTTAGATTCTTTTTTCTAATGCATAAATGCTGTCGTCCCCACACTTTCTCCTCAAAAACAAGGGGAGGGATTATCTCTGAGCCCGTTTTAGTACCTCCGCGCCCACCAATCCGTAGCCGACCGGTTGGTCAATGATCCGTTGTCCACTAATATTCGGCCCGCATGTTCCTCCTCGGAGAACCACAGATTCTGGTGGAGCGAGCGCAGCCTTTTCTCGAAACGATGCTTCCCATTCGTCCTCCCCAGGTGCTGCTGGAGGCTCTTTACTTCTCGCTGGTGGCCAAACGCCTCCACCCGGAGGAGGATGACACCCTGGTGGAGCACCCTGTGGTGGAGCACGTGTCGGAGAAGATTGGCAGAGTCCGGCCGCCTCAGGGATTTGCGCTTTTCCAGGCCAAGGAAGAGGCCCGGAAAGTGAAGGTTCTGCACGGGTTACTCAAGGTCAGAAGGGGCACCCCGTCGGTGGTGGTGGTGGTGGGGGGGAGAAGTGGCTTGAGAGCGGCCGGGGTGGGGCGGGTGGTGGTGGCCAGAGGAAGGCACGATGGCTGCCAATTCTCCAGCCAGTGGCAGATGTCCGGCGGGAGGGTTCCCCTGCAGCCACTGGCTTCCAACAGATCCGGCCGGCGTACCTGGCCTGGCTCCACACCAGGGGGGCAAGCCCCAAACACGCTGTGGGGCTTCCTTGGAGCGCTCTTCTGCTCCGGCAGCCGCGGGCGGTTCCTGGTGGGGTCACCAATACTGGCCCATCTTTCCCGCCAGGAGTTCTTTGTCTACATGCTCTTCCTCCTGGCCGTCCTCCTCACGGCCTACGGGGACGCCTCGCAGCACAGCCGGGCTTTCCTGCTCCAGAAATCCATCAAGCAGCAGCTGGGCAGCGAGCAGTTCCTCGGCATTCAGAGGTATTTTTTTTCTGTCACCCCAGTTTCAGTCTTTGTGGCTGAAAGGCCCTGCGGGATGTTTCCTGGAGGTCTGGAGGGAAGACGGTCTCGCCCGGCGGGTCCTGCTATGCTAAAGGACCAACTGTGGGAGACAGGGCTGGAGAAGCGGGTGGGGCTTCCCCGGACGGCCCCTCCTGACTTTGAGAATGTCGCAGATCTATGAATGGGAAGCAGTCTCTCAGGTAGCCAGGTCCCACACTACTGATCAGCCAGCAAGGAAGCTTTAAGCCAGGAAGCGGGTGGCGGGCATCTTCTGGTAGGTCATCCCATTCAGAAGCTTAATCAAAGCTTTCTGCAGCAGCTGCAGCTTCCAGATCTGCAGCCCTAGGGTCAGTCCCAGATAGGATGTATTGCAGTAGTCCAGTTTCGAGGTTACCAGTGTCTGGCGTCGGTAGTCCAGCTATCACTGCCCTTACTTATTCCGATTATTTAATCTCTAGGGTGTCTTAAAAGCCAGAGGTATGTATTCTGCTCTCACTGTTACACTCTTCTTGGTTCCCTCCCCCCCACCTAGATCCGATGAATTCTGGATTTGGATGTCTCAGGAGCTGTTGCCCTTCCTGTACAACAACCAGTCCGGCCAGGGAAGCGATAGCATCACCCTCGGGTCTCCACGGCTGCGGCAGATCCGCCTGCAAGAAGGTACGTGGCAGGCGCTGCCAAATTGAAACTCCCAGGATGATTCGTTTCCATATGGGGGTGTCAGGAGAGACTGGTTGCCGTAGCCCCCCTCAATCTCTCTGGGGTCTCCCGGTCTTGATCCTGGAAACGGCCACCCAGGAAACGGCGCTGGGGCCCTCTTCTCAGAAGCCAGAGATGAGAACGAGGGAGAGAGAAGCGTTGGAAGCGAGAGGGCAACAGTGTTGTGAACGTCAATAAACAGCAGAGAGCATCAGGCCGGCTCTTCTGCTTATTTCCAGAAGCGTGTCTCGGTTCTGTCCGCCATCTGCTTAGCGGGGCCGATCCATCAGTCACCGGAGAGAAATGCGTTCTGGACTCCAACCAGTTTGACACGGCTCCCTACGCCGTCGGCTGGGAGAGCACCACCGACAACCGGACCCGGTTGTGGGAATATTCACCACCTGATCTTGCAGGGTAAGTGGTGCCGTTTTGCGCCGTGGTGCCCTCCCACTTCCGATGGAGGACCGAACCTGCTCCTCCTCGGTACGACAGCCTTCCAAGTATTTGAAAATGCCAGAGTGGAAGCCGGCCGAGGTCTTCAGCTTGACCCCGTGGGCTTCTTCCTCGCTCCCTTCTTTCTCTTTCAGAGTTTGGTACTTGGGCTACCTTTCTTTCTACGACAGCGGGGGCTACGTCCAGGAGCTGGGAACAACTCTAGGAGAAAGCAAAGCGCACGCGGACACCCTCCAGCAGAACCACTGGATCAACAACAGGTAAACAACAACAGGCGGTCTGTTGAGGGGGGGGAAGAGCATGCGTCCTCCGTTCGTCGGGCTGGTTTGTGCAATGAGGCTGCTTTGCTCTCTGAAAAGAGATCTCAAACCCCGGGTTCCGTACGACCTAATCCAAGCACCCTTTTCCCTCCCCTGGCAGAACTCGAGCCGTCTTTATCGAACTGACCCAGTACAGCCCCAGCGCTGGCCTCCATGCAGTCATTACCCTGAGGCTGGAGTTCCCTGCAGGCGGACCCGCTCTGCCAGCCGTGGCTGTCACCACCCTCCCGCTGCTTCCGCTCAGCCAGGGAGTCACCTTGCAGCTCCTGATGATGGTGGGTACCCGCCGTTCCCTCTCCTCTTTCGGGCCTGGACTTTGCCCTTTCTTGCAACCCGCTTACGGGCCTCTTTTTAGTTCTGCGTTCTTGAGACTAACAAAATTTGGTGTTTAAGAAGTGAAGAGATGAAGGAAGGCTTGAGGGTTTTCTGTGTAGCAGCACCTTGCTTATAGAGCTTCCTCTCAAGGAAAATTGGGCAAGGTTAACCCCTGTTGTAAAAAGTCATTCCGGTCTTTAAACCAGCTATAAAATGGCCTTTTAACAGTCATTCAAAAATCTCTTTTTACTTTGTTTTGGAACACCTGGTGAGCGGAAGGAAAATACCAACCACGTTCATATAAGTATGTGTGAATCCTTCTTTGTTCTCATGTCACGGTTCCACGTTGCGTGTCACACTGAGTGACAAACACAAGGCAGGCTTCCTAATTTCTGTCTCACGTCCACCCCTTCCTTCCTTCTCCGCTTGCCTCCTGACCCAGGTCTTCCTCATGATCGTGGTGGTCCACTTTGTGGTCTCGGAGTCCCTGACCATCAAGAAGGTGTGTGAATCCTTCTTTGTTCTCATGTCACAGTTCCACCTTGCGTGTCACACCGAGTGACAAACACAAGGCAGGAAAGTCCGCTTCCTAATTTGTGTCTCACCGGACCCGCTCTGCCAGCCGTGGCTGTCACCACCCTCCCGCTGCTTCCGCTCAGCCAGGGAGTCACCTTGCAGCTCCTGATGATGGTGGGTACCCGCCGTTCCCTCTCCTCTTTCGGGCCTGGACTTTGCCCTTTCCTGCAACCCGCTTACGGGCCTCCGTTTAGTTCTGCGTTCTTGGGACTAACAAAATTTGGTGTTTAAGAAGTGAAGAGATGAAGGAAGGCTTGAGGGTTTTCTGTGTAGCAGCACCTTGCTTATAGAGCTTCCTCTCAAGGAAAATTGGGCAAGGTTAACCCCTGTTGCAAAAAGTCATTCCGGTCTTTAAACCAGCTATAAAATGGCCTTTTAACAGTCGTTCAAAAATCTGTTTTTACTTTGTTTTGGAACACCTGATGAGCGGAAGGAAAATATCAACCACGTTCATATAAGTATGTGTGAATCCTTCTTTGTTCTCATGTCACGGTTCCACGTTGCGTGTCACACTGAGTGACAAACACAAGGCAGGCTTCCTAATTTCTGTCTCACGTCCACCCCTTCCTTCCTTCTCCGCTTGCCTCCTGACCCAGGTCTTCCTCATGATCGTGGTGGTCCACTTTGTGGTCTCGGAGTCCCTGACCATCAAGAAGGCCGGCAGGGCCTATTTCAGCCAGGTCGGCAGCTATGGCCAGTGGCTGCTCATCCTGGCCACCACCGGCACTGTGGTTGTGCACCTCAGCCAGGCCACCTTGGCCGACCGGCAGTGGGCCGAATACCTGAAGAACCGGCAAGGTTTCACCAGCTTCTACGGGGTGGCTTCTCTCCATGAGGCCTTCGGCTGCCTTGCTGCCAGTCTCCTCTTCTTCCTGACCGTGAAGGTAAGGAGGGCCGAGGGAGGTTGATCCGTTTTCCTAGATTCCTTACCTTGCACTCCCCGCACCAATTTCAGGCAGCAGGGGAGATCAATATATATGTCTCACGAAGGAGGTCCATTCATGGGAGGTCTTGACTCTCACCTTTGCTCTCCCCAGGCTTCGCAGCAGCTGCGCTTCATCCGACAGTGGTCCACCTTCGGCAAAACCTTGCAGAGGTCTGCGAAGGAGCTGACAGCCACAGCCTTCACCTTTGCGATCCTCACCCTGGCCTACGCACAGCTGGGATTCCTGGTAAGTACAGACTCCTGGAAGCAGGTAGAGGGAGGGAGGAGAGCAAGAACGGGCTAGCCGATTCCCTTAGAATTGGTGTGGCCAAAGGGGTTTGCGGTGGAAAGGCCCCACTTTATTCCTCCGGGCATGCAGACCCATTGGGGAAGCAGGACTGTAGAGCTGGAAAAACTCCAAGGTTCAAGACTCAACCAGGGCTAGCTTCCACGGCTGAGCCATTCCTGACGGTTTTGACCTTTTGTTTAAAAACCTGCAACAAAGGACAGCCCCCCCACCTTCCCTCTGAGGGCCTCTCTCAAGGCGATCGAGACCAGCCCCCCTGCTCCAGGCGGGGATCCGAGTCAAAGCAGTTGTGGCCAAGGATGGTCCAATGTTCTCTTGAAGGCCTCCAACACTGGAGTGCTCACCACCTCCTCTTGAGGTCCTGGGTTCCGTTGTCGTACTGCTCTAACAGTTAAGGAGTTTTTCCTGATATTCCGCTGAAATCTGACGTCCTGTCGCTTGAGCCCATTGTTGCGCATCCTGCCCTCTGGGATGATGGAGACCAGATCCTGCCCCTCATCTGCAGGACAGCCTTTCCAGTCTTTGAAGAGTGCTCTGTTTCCTGATATTCAGCTGAAATCCAACTTCCTGTCACTTGAGCCCATTGTGGCGCATCCTGCACTCTGGGATGATGGAGACCGGATCCTGCCTCTCATCTGCAGGACCGCCTTTCCAGTCTTTGAAGAGTGCTCTCCTCTTCCTCCCTCCTTAGACTTCTTTTCTCGCGGCTTAAGCATGCCCTCCAGTTCCTTCAGTCTTTTTTTGATATTCAGCTGAAATCCAACTTCCTGTCACTTGAGCCCATTGTGGCGCATCCTGCACTCTGGGATGATGGAGACCGGATCCTGCCTCTCATCTGCAGGACCGCCTTTCCAGTCTTTGAAGAGTGCTCTCCTCTTCCTCCCTCCTTAGACTTCTTTTCTCGCGGCTTAAGCATGCCCTCCAGTTCCTTCAGTCTTTTGTCTTAGGACTTGGCTTCCAGTCTCCTGATCATCCTTCTTGCTTGGGCTGGGGATTGGGGGGGGCAGGCAAGCTAGAACAGAACGGTCAAACTTGGGGTTCCCGTCGTCTTTCAGAGCATGGGGGGAGGACCACGAGTGCCACCCAGGGTTCCCCGTTGGGTGGAGTTCCAATGACTCTTGTGTCTCCCCGCGCAGCTCTTCTCCTCTCGCTCCGAGGCCTTCTGCAGCGTCTCCAGGGCCCTCCAGCTCCTCGGCACCGCTCTCCGCAGCAGGGCCAGCTCACACTACCTCCTTGAGCCCCCGGGGCTTTTCCCCCACCTCTTCTGGGCCAGCTACCTCCTCCTGGAGCTGTGGGTGGTCCTGCGCCTGTTCGCGGCCGTCCTGCTCTATCACTACCGGGAGACGCGCTTCGAGATGTACCGCCCGGCCTTCGAGTCCCAAGACTACGAAATGGTGGAACTCTTTGTTCGGAGGCTCAAGATGTGGATGGGATTCAGCAAGGCCAAAGAGGTAGGGGCCCCTCCCAGCCGTCTCGTGTATGTGTGTGTCTTTGTGGTGGCAGCAACAGCCACCGCTTAGCACAGAATGGGCAACAGGAGGGAAGCAGACCATGGGCCAAGTCAACCCCTACCATGACCAAAAACCCTGAAGTCTGGGCAGCAGCAAAATGGTTAATTTAGCACCCTGCGCCCAGGACACAGATCTGGTAGCACCATCTCTTTAGCTGATTCTGGATGCGATCCTCAAGGTAATAGATAAAGGTAAAGGTTCCCCTTGACATTTTTAGTCCAGTCGTGTCCAACTCTAGGGCATGGTGCTCATCCCCATCTCCAAGCCGTAGAGCCAGCATTTGTCCGAAGACAGTTTCCGTGGTCACATGGCCAGGGCTAGACACGGAGCACCGTTACCTTCCCACCGAGGTGGTACCTACTTATCTACTCGCATCTTTACATGCTTTCGAACTGCTAGGTTGGCAGGAGCTGGGACAAGCGACAGGAGCTCATTCCATCGCGTGGATTCTATCTTACGACTGCTGGTCTTCTGACCTTGCAGCCCAGAGGCTTCTGCGGTTTTACCCGCAGCGCCACCACGTCCCTCAGGGAGAGGATAGCAATCCTGTCCTCCTTCACAGAAGCTTTAGTCTTTTTGCCAGCAGGAGATCTTTGCTAGATTTGATCTGCCAGGAAGAAAACCGAGAAAGCGACAGAGAAGGGGCAGGACGAGTCAGGTCCAACACGCCCCACCCCACCCCTCGGCCAGGGATGTCCCTCTCACCAAGCTTGGTATGTCTGAGCCCCTTCCAGTGTCCCTCACCCGGGAGAGGCTTGGGGATCAGCCCAGCTTCCGTTGGGTCCCATTCTGCCACCAGTGATTCTCCGCCCTCTCAACCAGGGATCTTTCTCTCTCTCTCTCTCTCTCTCTCTCACGCGCACCCCCCTTGTCTCGCCCTCCCCAGTTCCGCCACAAGGTCCGCTTTGAAGGAATGGAGCCGCTGCCCTCCCGCTCGTCCAGCCAGGACTCCCGGTCCCTACAAGTCCCCACGCCCAGTGCCACTTCGGACAGCTCTCGGGCCTCCACCTCCTCCAGCCAGCTGGATGGACTCAGCCTGGTGCCCAGTGTCCGGGATAGCTGCGAAGTGGACGGTGAAGTCCAGCGCCTCCTTTCCCTCCTGGAGACTCTGCTGGTCCACTTTGACCGGGTGAACCAGGCCACGGAGGACGTCTGCCACCTGGAGCGCCGGCTGGGGAGTACGTGGCGCCGGCAGGCCAGGAAGAGGAGCAGCCGGAGCACGGAGCGAGTCCCAAGTGCCCCTCACCCCCCTCGTGTCCAACCAGGGTCGCCCTCCTCCGACGTCACCCCCGAGAGGAACCCATGTCTGACACCCTGCCCCATTGCAATCGTCCGAACCAGTCAGGGCGCTGGCCCGGGCGCTCTGCTCGCCCCACGGAAGACGCAGGCCTTGCTTGGAACCACGGCCAAAAAGAAGAAACCGTCGCGGGCCAAGAACCGGGTCCACCCCAGCAGCAACATCCCTGGTTAGAAATGAAGACGGTTACAGGAAAAGCAACCGAGGGATCGGCCATCTCAAATTCGGATGCCAGGAGCTTTTTGGCTCCTCTCCCGTTTGCAAGGGCTGGTCCCGCCAGATGTTCCACAGGTTTTGCTTGATGGGCAGAGACAGAAAGAAGAGGCCGACGGCGTGGAGCCCATGTGGGGCCCCCTTCAGGGCTCGGCGTGGCACCCAGCCGGTGGTTTTCCACCCGGGGCAGAGCAACCCTCCCTACAGTATTACGGTTTTCTTGGAGAACGCCTCTGCTGTTTTTGGAGAGGGGCTACTCTGACGGGAGAAGTTAGAAAAGTTGAGACCCATCAGGCAGGCTCCGTGCTGGCATTCCTGGTGCCAGAGGGGCGGAAAAAAAGAGCATTTTGTCAGGGTGAAGTCTTTTGAAAGGAACAAAAAAAACCTGCACGATCAGGTTTCTCTCACAAACATTTCGCAAGGAACCTGGAGAATGAATAGGAAGGCTGAGATCGTCAATGCCTGCAGCCGAGAAGGGACGGCTGCTCCTTACACTCAGGCCTTCCTTCAGAATTCAGCCTCGGATAGATTTAAAAAGAAACCCTTTTTAAAAGGGACACTTTAAAAAAAGAAGACAAGAACCTCTTCTTAGATTCAAACGCTAACCTACCAGTCTTGAAAAGGGGTAACCGTGCGTGCATGGAGCCCGAAGGGACCCTTTTGGCAAGGTTCCAGTGCTGGGTTCTCCAAAAGGATCGGGGTGCGGAGGGCGGCTGTGTGGACCGGGGACCCCTTGAGCTGGCTTCACGGGGTTCCCATTCCAGCAGTTGGCGTCGCTCGCCGAACTGAGTGAGTTTGTGTGTGCTGTGCGGGTTGCGTAATTCTACAGTTGGAAGGAGATGACTGCGTCTATTTTATTTTATATGGTGTCTGTCTACATATGTATTTTATATATATATATATGGTTTACTATTTGTATTTACTGCCTAGCACTTTAATCAATGCTTGCCTTAGCTAACAGTGACACATGCAACTTTTAAAATAAGAGCAGGATAATATATCATGGAAGCAGTATTTTTGTTTTGTTTGTAAATCATAATTTGAACGGGCTGCTGGAATACGACCACAGATGTCTCGCTTCCTGCCATCTCATTTTCTGAAAGGCTCCAGATCTGACATCCAGCATCTGACAGTTGCCCAAAGATTTGAAAGCAGGCACTGGTGACATCTTCCCCAGTATTCTGTGTTTGTTACGCGTGCCCCAGAGCCCTCCGGCTGTGTTCACACAATGTTGGGAGACTCAGAGGCAAAGTTGACAATTGTGCTGGGGCTTAAAATCCTGATATATTTATTAAGGGCAAATACAGTATCAAATTTCGGGCTATGTTTACACCTCTTTTTCCTTCACGATCACAGGTGAGTCCTCTGGTCTGGTCCCTTCCTGAACAGAAGGAGCATTTGAGAAGTTTGCTGTCCCCCTACAGGGTGATGCAAAGCCCTAGATATTTTGAATTTTCCCACAGGGCTTCCTTTAAGGAATACTAGGTGAACCAGACGGGAGCCCTATATCACTGGTTCTTAACCTTGGGTTACTCAGGAGTTTTGGACTGCAACTCCCAGAAGCCTTCACCACCAGCTGTCCTGACTGGGGTTTCTGGGAGTTGCAGTTCAAAAGCATCCGAGTAACAAAGGTTAAGAACCACTGCCCTATATGATAGTCATGTTCTGTCCTCTGTAATGTTCTACGCTTCTTACACCAAGGAAGGAGTCCTGATTCAGCCGAACGCTGGAATGGCCTAAAATAAAGCATCGGTCGTTGCTCGTTCCCAGTTCATCCCAATTGCTCACCCCCACCCAACTCAACCCTGTTTTTAAATGGAAAAATTATTTCTTCCATCCAAAGCTACAGCTGGCCTGTACTTCCTCTGGGCTTTAAGGAGGCACCTTTTGCTCCCTGTTCCCAAGAGATGTCTTCCCTCCACCGCTTCCCCGGCCGGCTCCCTAATCGTGACGCTCCTTCTGTTGTCATATTCCACCAGCCAGTTTAATGTTATGTATATTGTAAGTAATTTATACAGGAATTTTTACAAGAAGAAAAAAATGTATATTTTTGTATGTTTGCTATATTTTTATAGCATCGGTACTGTGCTTAACATGTATAGATAAGAGTTATTTAAAATGGTACGTCAAAACGCCTTCTCGCTAAAACGTGTGGTGTACGGGCAAAGTGTTGTATGTATGGGATTTTGTGCCAAAGGAAGTTTAGGAGATTTTTTTTTATTTTTTTGTTTTTGGTTCCTTACATCCTGGGCAGGGGGGCAGGATCTCCCTGCAAAATGCTGCACTAGCCAGAATTTCTCCCAAGAGGTTGCAAAGTCTAAAAAGGAAGTCAGCGACCGAAGCTCTGTCTTCGATTGTGTGTTTCAGAAACGCTGACTCTTGACACTCTCTCTGTCGACACCGCCAGGGCTTGCCAACTTCGAGACTTGCTTTTGCCTGGAGGGATAGATGTGTGTGTGTGTGTGTTTCACCATGACTAAATTTGGGGTTGTAACCATCATCCTAAAAGCAGAAACAAATGGTTACACATGTCTTTTTCTGAAAAGGATTTCCTTATTTATATGGGTGCTATTTTTTTAAAAAAAACAACAACAATAGAACTCTTTTTATAATATTCCAAGCTGCTTTATCGTCAGGTACAAATAAAAAGAAAAATACACTTGCTTCATTTTTTGATAGAGATGTGGAAGCTTGCTAGGTGGTAGGGAGAGAAGGAGTGGGGTTGGGAGAAAGGAGGTGAGATTATATTTGTCCAGGGGACCGGAGGGGGAGTCTCACAACCGCACACGATAGAAATCGGAAGCTTATTGCCTGAGCACTCGGGGCTGGGTGTGTGTCTCTCTCCTCCCCGTCTTGTTGGTTGGGAGAATGACAGAGAAGAGAACGGGTGCAGGTGTTGTCAGGGGCAGGCCTTTGCTGCCACAAGGCAAAGAGAAATCACCCCGGTTCCTTTGAAGGGCGCTCGGCCGTGGGGAGATGATGGGTGTTTGGTGAAGACAGAGGGAGGAATTTTTTTGCACTCGTTAGCCAGACTAAAAGTTCTCATAGGTGGTTTGTGTTGTTTTAATGTCGGTACTTTACAAGGGATGGCCAAGTCCGGTTAGGGAAAGCGGTTCCTTAGCAGACGAAGCTGTGCTTCTATGCAAAGGAGGGGCCAAATCTCTTCTCCAGAGGCGGAATTGCTCCGGAGCCACGAGGGCAGGGAGGAAGGACCTGGTGTGGAGGAACTTGGGGGCACTCGCTGCAGCACAAGCCTTGGCTGTCGCTTGACCGCTT